AGTGAGAGGCTGCCTTCTTCTATCTTCTCAATGAATCCAACTTCTGTTCTTGGACTTCTGTTCTAGGTTTTTTTCCCATCCCATATCCAGAAATTGGAGGAGTTTTAGGAAAGATTAAATGAGAGTTAAAGTGAGAAGCGTATGAAAGGATTTGGACCCTTGATCATCTTTAATCTCAAACTCACTCATAAATTGCGCTTTGATACGACAATTGATCTGGTGCATCTCATCCTAATGTGCATCTAAGGATGAAGATTCATTCTTACGCTTGTCACTTAACTCACATTGTGAGAAAATAAGTTATTATGAGAAGTATAAGAGGAGATTTGGATCCTTGATCACTTTTAACCTCATGCACACCCATGAATTGGGCTTTAGAAGAAAATTAATCTAATGCATCTCGAGGCACCTCAAGAATGTTGACATTCAATTAGAATTGATCTAAATGTGGAGATTTCTTCTTACACTTTTCACTGTGATTTTCATTTTCAATGGAACCCAACACACACACACACACACACACACACACACATATATATATATATATATATATATATGGGAAAGATTTTTTTGTTAACCACCTAGTTAGTACAAATTGTGCCAATCGAAGTATTTTTCGTCTTTGTCCATATTGATATCACATTCTTTAACTATCTCATTCACTTAATTATCACATTTCTTAATTATCCCATTCTTTTAATTATAACATTTTGTCCACTTACCATTTTGAAACAAAACTGTAACAAATTTAAAAAAGAAAATCATTGTTTCACCAATGGATTTTGACTATCAATTATTATTTCACCTACTAACTTTTGGGGTTTCATCTATAAACTTTGTTTAAACCTCATCAGTTATCCCATTATATACTAGTTTCACCCATGAACTTCAGTAAAAGTTTTAGAACAACCCAACCACAGTTCATACACGAAACAACATTATGAACTTTAAACAAAATCATTGTTTCATCTATAAATTTTGTTTAAATTGCTTAATTATCATTTTCATTTTCTCGTTCATCTATAAACTTTGGTAAAACTTTTAGAACAACCAAATTTCATACACGAACGGAAATAAATTTAATAAAAAAAACTAATTTAGGAGATAAATGGAAAACCAAATTTAAGAGATAAAGGAAATAAATTTAACTAAAAAAATAACGTAATTTATCTTCCAAAAATAAATGACAATTTATTCCAACATAGACTTTCATTTAATTATTATTTTTTCATCACTTTATAACCTCTAATTTAACCATAACTATTAATAAAAATATGAACAACTTATATGAGTTTGTATGGTTACTAATTAATTCGTTAGCAAACGACTTAATTTGATGTTTAAACTAATTGACAAACAATTTCAAATATAAAAAAGATTTACATGCAACAAAATATTAGATTACTAAACACAACCATCTTAATTTTGATTATATTTAATTATTATTCTTTCTAAATAAAATAATAATAAATTGCAACAATTTTTGACCGATTAGGTCATTTTGTTTTCATTGGTTAACTTTTCACCAATAATATATAAATCAATTTAAGTTACTTTTGTAGGTAAATAATTTGGAATTATGCCTTTACTCCTTTTCTTTAGCTCTTGTTTGTCGTATCCGCTTATTTTATTGAAACAGTAAATCACACCACCATTATCTTTGAACATGTATTTTGTCTTTATTGATTGTATGTATGTATGTATGTATAATAAAATACATATTATTAAAATGTTAAGGTTCATAAATAATAAGAATTTTTGTATTGATGTATAAGCTCATAAATGGAGAATATTTATAGCTCATATGCAAAATATATCACTTTCTGTACAATTGTTTTTATATCTAATATATAAAAAAAGGTAAATTGAAAATGAATATTAAAATCACGTTTAACAACTAACTAATAACTTAGCTAATCGTTGTTTGATATTCTATCCATTAAGTTCTAAATCTATTAAGTTGTTTTTAAACATTAATCTGACTGAATAAATTAAGATAAATTGTTATTTGATTTTTATCCTGAATAAAGAAAATTATCATTTTAACCTTATCTCTGCATGAGTGTTAAATATTTTAAATGACAAAAAATTAAAATAATATGAATTATTTAAAATAATAAGAATTCAACAAGTTTATAACACGATAAATAACTTCAAAATTTAAAACAATATAATACTAGTGTTCGATTACATTTTTTTAACTCATGTTGATAAACTATTTATTTTCTAACAAGACGTTGGTTATATTTTTTAAAATAAGGGTAATTTTGGAAAAAATTATAACTTAATGCATTAATGTTGGATGGACTAACTTAACATGTTAAATCAATCTTTTAACATTAAGGGGTTGTTTACTTGTGACTTAATGGGCTTAATGGTTCAACCGACTTATTCGCACAGCCATAATGGAGTGTTTACTTAGGGCTTAATTGAAAATATACCGGCTTATTCGCACAGTTGGGTAGGCTCACTTGTCCCCGTTCAGCCATAAAGTTTACCTTCCTACCCCTGGGAAAAAAAAAAAAGCCTTGCACGTTTTTTCTTCCCAAGAGCTGCATATCATCTTCAAGATTGAAACCTGCGTATAGTTTTTCAGGATCGAAACCTTCATCTCCTTCCAGATCGAGACCTGCGTATAGTTATTCCACATCGAGACCTGCATCTTCTTCCAGATCGAGACCTGCATCTTCTTCCAGATCGAGACCTGCGNCCAGATCGAGACCTGCATCTTCTTCCAGATCGAGACCTGCGTATAGTTATTCCACATCGAGACCTGCATCTTCTTCCAGATCGAGACCTGCATCTCCTTCCAGATCGAAACCTTTTTCCCCTACTAGATCGAAACCTTGCATCTCTTTCCCAAGATTGAAACCTACATCTCCTTCTGAAACTGAAACCCTACATCTCCTTTGCAAAATTGTTGCTTCTCTCCTCATCTCTCTCGACTTCGACGCATCACCAAGAACAAAAACCCAAAATGGGAACCTTAATACCCAAATATGAAACCCTCTTCTCTAAAATCGATTACCTATTTGAACTCTCTGCATCACCAAAATTGATTTGAAGTTTCTTTAAATTTTGGATTCTTGTAGGTTTCAATCAAAATCGAATGGGTTTGTTGAAGTTTTTGGATCACCTATTGTTGATTTTTCATCTTTTTTTTATAAATCTATTAATCTGATGATTTTTGGTATTAAGGGTAAAACGGTCATTTCTATCTTTCAGACGGTTAATTCAGAAAAAAAAAAAGTAAACAACAATAAATTTTTATCTAGACAGACAAATTTATCTAGACAGACAAGTTTATCCATACAGAACTTAATGAAAAATTTGGTAAACAGCCCCTAAGTTAAAATCAAACATCTTAATATAACTTATATTTGCCAAACAATGCTTAAATAATATCATAAAATGGTTATTATATATATTTTAATCATATATTTTAACCATCACTATCAAATATAAATAATTAATTCATACTTTTTTATCGAATATATAATTTAAAGAAAATTCTAAATATAGAAAGTGTCGTTTGGACTTTGGATCCAATATGGACAACCCTCTCCTTCCAGCCGCTTTTGTCATTATGTTTATGCATTAAAAAGAACAGCTCAGCCAACACCATTATTTTTATGGTGGATAAGATTTTAAGTTTTATTGAATTTTAAATCTCATAAATATTATTAACTTTTATATTAAAAATAATATTTATTTAATTTATAGACATAATATATAAACTAATAGATCGAATTGATTTTTACATAGTTTTTTTATTCAATTTCTTATGCTCGTAATTCTTTTCACTAACGAAATTAACAAAAATCTACTAATTTAGTGAGCTTTTCTGTCCTCTAATATTTATTTTTTTGTTTTTAAACAATAAAATAGAAATTATATAAATCTTGTTTTTAATATTATATTATTACAATATTACAAGACCACGCTATTGGTTGAAGAGTAAATTATTAATCATCTTTTATTAAACAATGTTTTTAAATATATAAACGTCTTAAAAGAACGATAGATGAGATAGTTTAGTTAAATATTTAAAACAACATAAAATTAATTACTTACTTTGATATATGTCGTTCTTAATCTAATCTACAACAAAAGAAATTAAGATTCTAAACAAATTTTTAAAAAGTTGACATAATCATTTTAATGATTCCGGTTATGGTTTATATCTTTTATTACAAATGTATAATAAGAAAAATATAATTTAAATGTTTTTATAATAATTTTAGATCTGCAAGGTCTTCTATATGCTTCATCACTTCATCTTGTGTGTGTATAATAATAATAATAACACACATAAAAAGGACTTTTATATATAATATTCTTTTTATTTTTATTAGGGAAGATACAAAAAAAATCTGAAAAAACCAAAATGTCTCCTAAATTAACGGGCTTTTATTAACTCCGTGAATGAGAGGGACTATAGTCATAAAAAATTGAATATTATAGATATCATATCCAAAATTAAAGAAATGTATGGATATTAGTTATAATTTTTAACATACCACAACAACCAAAATCATAAATCATTCTAAAAAATAAATACTAAAAAAGTAACCAATATAAACCACAAATACAATTAAGATGATGACATATATATTGTCATGACTTTAATATAATAAAATAATTAATGATATTGTTATTCGAGCTCTCTTTCGATATTATGTTGTATTTATTTTTTATATTGTCCGTCACTTATATTATTTTATATTTTTGTTTTTAAGTCGTAACAATTAAATCATATGTATTTTTAAATAGATTTTTTTTAATCTTCTTATACTATTTAACCGAGTAGTAACAATAATACGTAGTGATGTTTTTCATTTTCTGCTGTGGTTTTGCTAAAATAAAATTTACATGACACGTGTGGCAAAGAACTTGTTGGCGCCCAACAAAACTCCAAACATGTCTCCGTTTTTATCAGACCTGGAACCAGCAAACTTTACATATTTTCCTTCAAAGTGACTTGCCTCTCTTCTATCACAACCCACCAATTTGGCAACTCACACTAAAACATGACCGACAGAGTCTATCCTTCCTCAAAGCCAACCGGCAAGACTAAAGGCACAACCACCGCCACCACCCCACCAAATCCAAGACTACCACCACCACCACGCAAAGCCCAAATTCAGAAACCCATCCCCAACCGCCATCCTCACCGCCCAAACCCCATCCACAACCAACGAAACCCTCGTCGCCGGAGCCGCCGTGGGTGCTTCTGCTTATGCTGCTTCTGGTCAGTTCTTATCATTATCCTCCTCCTCCTCATAGCCACCGTCGCCGGCTGCATCCTCTACCTCCTCTACCATCCCCACCGCCCAACATTCTCAATCGCTGCCCTCAAAATCTCGGAATTCAACCTCACGACCACCGCCGACGACACAACTCGCCTCACTTCCAGACTCAATCTCACCATCTCCACCAGAAACCCAAATAAGAAAATCATATTTTACTACGACCCGATCGCAATCACATGTTTATCAGATGAAACCCAAATCGCAAACGGATCTTTTGCAAATCCATTCGTTAGCAATCCCAATAACATCACCATCATTCGGTCATCCTTGTACAGCAACTCCCTGCTTCTGGATACAGAAACAGTGAATCATATGAGATCAGATCTGAAGAAGAAATCAGGACTGCCATTGAAGATACTGCTTGATACTGAAGCTCAAGTGAAGATTGAATCCATAAAAACCAAAAAAGTTGGAATTCGGATTAAATGCGAAGGAATTCATAGCTTAATTCCAAAGGGTGGCGGTGGGAAGTCGAGGAATTCATCATCAGTATCTGCCATTGTTTCTGCTGCCAAATGTAAGCTTGATCTTCGGGTCAAGATCTGGAAATGGACCTTCTGAATTTGATAAATTTCACAAATTTCATTATTTTTTATATATATTTATAAGGTCCTTTTACTTAATTGATGCTCTCAAGAGATTAAAAAAAAAATAGAAAGAAACTATAACTTTTTTTTTACCATATCCTTCATCAACCTGCACATGTAACCGTTATATTTCTTTATTTTTATATATATACACATATAATTTTTTTTATGTTTTTTTAACACCAAAAGTGGGCTCGCATTTTCTTCTATATGCACATATACCGTGAATGTTAGGAATCGTTTACCAAACGTTTATCCGGTGAATATTTATTGATAAAATTCAACACCATCATTTACTTATCGAGTAAGATTTTAGTCAACATATACGACATCATATGCAACAATTTACCCGGTAAGCGTTAATCGTGGTAACAACCATTTCCCTTACTTACCGGATAAAACTTTCAGTCCTTGTTTCGCTTTTTTTTTTTTTTTTTTGTAAGGGTGTCCGGGCCAAAGCCCGACTAATCCCCGGTAAATTTGAAGGCTAAACATGGCCCCACTTAAATGTCGCCAACACTCCCCTCCCAGGGCTCGAACTCGGGTTCATGACTATGTCATGCCCAAGCCTTTACCACTAGGCTGGAAGGTCTTTGACTTTGTTTCGCTTTTACCGGATAAGATTCTTGTTTTTTATCATATTCATCCAGTAGGACAATTTAATTTGGCAACCATTTATTTGGATAATAATTTGGTAAAGGACCCCTTAGTGAATAAGTGATTGTCTGATAATAAGTTGGGTTAAAAGCACGGAATGTGATCATCACAGACCTCTCTATTTCTTTTTTATTGCAATTTTTATAGATTCAAAAAAGAATCGACCTGATCCAAATTATAATCTATATGAGATTTCCAATGTTGGACAGTAAGGGTAGGAGAATGACAGATTGTTTTTTTGATTGACAACAAAATATAATATATAAAATTCAAGTAGACGGGTGGTTTATGTTTTTATTAAAAAAAATAACAACCAGACCTAGTCTATTTACTTATAATTATAAATAAGTGTTCGGTTTTGATGAGAATGAAAGTTATGATAAGAAAAGTAAGATATAATTTTTACTCCTGAATCAATCTTAAATGAAGATGAACAATAATTAGATGCACCGAAATGGAACAGATCAATTCCTGTATAAAAGCGTAATTCATGAGATATGAGTAAGATTAAAAGTGATCAAGGTCTATATCTCATCTTACATTTATTACCTTAATTTCTATTTTTACATGATCTTTCGTCTATTAACCAACAATAGAAGTACATAAAGAATATGTTTCCATTTAATTCATGTTTTAAAAATTATTTTTAAGGTTCATAGTTTGCATATACACGAAGACCTTTTCAAGCATATCCATTAATACAAATAAATTAATTGGGAAATGATAAAGTTTATTTATTATGATTTGTATATTTTGTAGGGAAAAAAATGTTTGTTTATTATAATCAAAAGATTTTATATTAAAAAACAACCAAGATAGTCATTAATGTATATGAACGGTTAAAATTAGTTTGTATAGTTTATATTAATGGTTGAGTATGTAAATGAAACCACCTATGTGTGTGTATATATATATGTATGTATGTATGAGTTAAATCAGATGAAAATCATAAGAAGATTATAAACCCATGAGAACCGGTTTGAAATTTATTTGTTTGCATGATTTTTTTCCATAAAATTTTAAAATTTAAGATATTGTTTCACATATATTTGTTTGATAATATCATAGTTTCACATGCATTTGTTTCATACTGTGAAACTTTTTTTTTTGTAAATTTTCCGTTTCACTAAGTAAATAAAAAAAGTTTCACATGGATTTTTTTTCACCATGTGAAAACAATAGTTAAAATAATAATACTTGAGAAAAAAAATCATATAAAAAATATTTTTATATCGGTTTATAACGGGTTACTAACCCTTTATTTCTCACTTGATTATCGTCCTCTCTCTCTCTCTCTCTCTCTATATATATATATATATATATATATTCAGAGAACAACCTTCTAAAAAAATCTTAAATTTCACTTACATCTCATCTAAAGAAAATAAAAAAACAATGTGTTAATCAAATTTCCATTTTTCACATTAAATGCCATTTGATCGGAAATCTTATCAAAACTCTTATAGCTATAGAGTTACTTGTTATGCCTTCAAATTATACGTAATCATCAATGGATTATACACATATCTATAATTACCCAAAATTGATCATGATCAATTTCAAAATTTTCACATTTTTTTATGTGATGAACACTAAAACACCAATTTAGTATAACATTATTTTACACCATTTTTGTGTTAAGTTTCGTAATTGCAAATGACTTTTATTTATATATAATTTAACAGATTTATGTGTTGTAAATTAGGTTTATATTTTGTAAGTTTTAATAAATTTAATTTTTATATATTCAATTTATTTCGGTTAACCACATAATCAACATTTATATTTTTAATATGATCAACGAATAATTAAATATAAAATATATAATAACCATCGAGATTGAACGGGCATTATTTGAAAAAAGACGAGCTATATGACTTACATGATAATCAACAATTAACACTATTTGAAGAAGAGTCACCAATAAACATTGAAAGAGTGACAAATAATGATAACCTATTTCGAGAATTTATTGTCTGTTGTGGACAAATCGTACTTGTAAACGTATTAATTAATCATCAATGTACAACTTATAATAATTCCAAGGTTAAAATGTTTGCATCGCTTTTTCGAAAAAGAACATATATATATATATATATATTTTATTTTTAATAATAAAATAATTAAATATGACTTGTGAACGTATGTCTCTAAAAATAAAAATTGATGGATGATAATTGATAATATTAAATTTGTGCGTGAATAACGGTTAAATTTTGAGTTAATATTCATTTGTTTTGGTACAACGACACATTTGTCGGTAGGCATCACTTAGTTTAGTTGCAATGTTTTTATTTTTGTTTTTGTAAATAAATAATAAAAGATGAATGGTCCAGCTTGCATATCCTTATCCTTCATCCCATTCCCAGCTGGAGTATGTTGTAAAATTGTCCCATCCCATCTAACTCCAAACATATAATTTAATATTTAAAATAACCAAATAATAATAATTATGGTTTAAAATAATAATATATACAGTAGCTTAGACCATTTCAAACATTTTTTTCTATAATTCATTTAAAATATATATAAAATATTTTAAATATATATATAAAATATTTTAAATATATATATAAAATGATATTAATTTAACCCGTCATTAGTAGGATGAATAAAAAAACTTATTTACCTCTCTTATCTTTGGATTTTTAGATAATTATCTATATCTAAAGTTTTCTCCGTGATTCTCTATTTTAGAGAATGAGATAAGAAAGATGTTGGAGTATTGTTGAAAATAAAAGGTTGATTTTCTTTATCATAAAAAAGTTGTTGGAGATGCTCTTGTAAATTTGGTTCATGTGGTTTATCAAAAATAACATTTTTCATTTTTAGTTTCGAAATTACAAGATGGCTATCGCATTCGGTAAAGAAGTCCGGATTTGATTCCTCCTTCTAACGGTCTTTGGAAAATTCCGTTAAATGAGAAGCATTTTTGTTCTTTTATTGATTTTTATCCAACCAAAAATCACAAGGATTAAAATCATAAAATCAATTTTGACTGTTAAAGAACAAAATATTGATAAAAAGAACGAAAATACACCTAATTAATGGATTTTTTTTAATGATCGTAAGATAGAGGGACCAAATCAAACCTTTTTATAAATCATGATAAGCATTTTGTAATTTTAAAATTTGTTGGAACCAAAATTGTTGTTTACTCTAAAATCTAATTAATTTTCATTTAAATCATACCAAAAAAATCTAATTACAAATTAAAGGTTGACATTATCCCTAATAAAAGTTAATAATGTCTCTTAATTAAAATAATGAATTTAATGATTTTTTTTCACGAGTGAATTAATGACCTAATATTACGTTTGTAACAAATCAGATATTAATCGGATCGACATATAAATGATGAGGTGTAAGGTTGATATTGCAAACAAAAAGAGCATTTTAATATTTAGGGCGTAAGGTTGATATCAAGTATTGATGTGTGTAAATGGATCAATACTTCAAGTGTTCAGATCATATAATTGAACATATCATATCGGATTTAGATCAAGACCCAACCCATGGATATGTTTAATTGATATTGTTATCGAATGAGTGTCTTCTTTTAAAAACTTGACAATTTGTGAGAACGTTGAGATCCATTTTAAGTCAATAAATTATATTAAATTAGGAAGGTAGTACTTTTGAATTAGAAAATTAAATAAAGGGCCTTGTGGGTATTTTAAAATTAACCTATTTCCTCGCATTAAAAACGTTACCTAAAAAAATTAAAGCTAAACCTAGCAAGTAATATAACACATCTGAACACCAAATGTCATAACTCATTATGAATACCAAAGAACCTAACCAAACTACATTTAATCCTTACCACTTGTGAGCATGTCGTGAATTTGCGAAATCTAGTATATGAACAAAATCAATAATGAAATTTAAACACTAGTCAAATATCCTCCCCTAAAGCTAGAACTAAAAATCTATACTATCACAATGTAAACCACCATTAAATATATTATTTCAATTAACCATTGTGACCACATATATTTATATTACACATTTTGAACACAATGTATACACCAAATGCAAATTCATCACAATTTTTTTAATAGATTTTGAGGGAACATGGACTCTTTTTAGACTTTTTAAAACGATAAAAAATGAAAACTAACAAAGTTATATAAGAAAAATAAACATAACAAATTACACAGTTACCAAATATTTTATTAATCAAATCAAAAAACACGGATCTTACAAGTTTGAGAGTTCTTAAATGATTGAATCCCGTTATCGAATTAACCATGGGGTTACTGAAACTGGAATTATTTTTGAGTATATGTGTTTATTAACTAGGTAAAACGGTTTAAAGTTCAAACCT